ACTTCAGTACAGTCACAACAACAGTTTGAAATTACAAATCGGGCATTTCCCCGAACACAACACCCCCCCACACAACCCTACCTGACTGGAAAGCTAGCTTGTATACATTGCCTCAAAGTGCAATTTGAAACTGTTTTTGGCCCAAAGTGTATTTACAAACTCTTTTTGTGACTCCCCCGTAGTGTCCCACAAAAAGAAACACCAGACGGCCACGAGACTGACATCACAGCAGAGAGATCAGTTTTTTTTTTCGTTTTTTTTTTTTTTTTTCCAGAGACAAGCTGCGTTACTGACCGAGAGTAGAAATAGAAAGTAGAGAGTAGAATAAGAGTCCAAACGGCCGATGACAGCATGTTAGGACCGACTATGCTCCATTAGGTGGTGAAGCAAGGACCCATCATTTAAAGAGAACACACTGAAGTGGAAAAGGAGAAGAGGGAGGCGAGCAGGAAAGAGATAGACACAAAGTAGTGCAAAAAAACTTTTGCTTCGTTAGGCTGAACTCGTCGATACAGAAGCAAAGCAGCGAGAGTGCCCAGGTCGCCTCGGGCACAGGCCAGGGAAGGTCCCTGTGGAAAAAACTTAAAAAAAAAACAAACAAACTATGTTGTCACTTGTTGTGGCAGTTGTGCAGAAAAAAAAAAACAGAACAACTTCTGCCTTAGGGTAACATCAGAATCCTTTGCCCAATTAAAAATAATCTGTGTTAAACTCCGGGCCGCCCAGCGGCCCAGCCTCTGTCCGGCAGGGGTCCCAGGCGGCCCGGCTGGTTGGGTCCCCCAGGCGGGCCCAGCACATTTTTGTGCGGGGGGGCGGGGAGGCCTTTTTCGATGCTTTTTCGCGCTTGGGAGCCTCCCCGCCCCCACCGCGCAAATTATTCCGCCGATTGCACATTTGGTCGGGCGGCCTTCGAATTCGAACGTGAGTTCGTGCTACCCGCCGAGGAGGTTCCCGCCGCTGCCCACCGAAGAGGTTCCCGTCGCTGCCCGCCTTCGCCGGGCTGCCCGTCGTCGATGCCCGTGGTCACTGCCCGCCGCCACTGCCCGTCGTCGCTGCCCGTTTCCCAGCTCGTCGTCGCTGGCCGCCGTCGGAAAGCTGCCCCGTCGTCGTCGATAAGGTACCGTTGTGCGAAGTGCCACGTGTCAGTCTCTCTCTCTCTCTCTCTCTCTCTCTCTCTCTCTCTCTCTCTCTCTCTCAGTGTGTGTCTCTCTCCTCCTCCTCCTTCGTCATCCTTTTTTTTTTTTTCCCCTTTTTCGTCGATGTATCACGAAACCGGCAGGTCCTTCTCCGCTGCCTCCTTCTCCTCCTCCCTTCGTCTTCTTCTCTCCTCCTCCTCCTTTCTCCTCCTCCACCCTATTTCATTGGCTTTCTTCATCGGGCGAAGTGCCACGTTTCAGTCTCTCTCTCTCTCTCTCTCTCTCACTCTCTCTCTCTCTCTCTCTCTCTCTCTCTCTCTCTCTCTCCTCCTTCTCCTCCTTCCCCCTCCCTTTGTCTTCTTCTCTCCTCCTCCTCCTCCCCCTCCTTTGTTTTCTTCTCTCCTCATCCTCCCTTCGTCTTCTTCTCCCCTCCTCCTTTCTCCTCGTCCTCCTCCCTTCGTCTTCTTCTCCCCTCCTCCTTTCTCCTCGTCCTCCTCCCTATTTCGTTGGTTTTCTTTATCAGGCGAAGTGCCACATGTCAGGCTCTCTCTCTCTCTCTCTCTCTCTCTCTCTCTCTCTCTCTCTCTCTCTCTCTCTCTCTCTCTCTCTCTCTCTCTC